AAATTTCACAACATGCCAAGGAAGAGAGGAAGGAGCAATTAAATAATTAAAATTATAAAGGATTTAAAAATATATATAAAAATGGGGAATATCACACTTCTGACAATCGCAGCGTGTGTGTGGGCTAAATTTGGAGAATCCGTGCTTCTCGCATGGACAACTGTATGTGGCCGGCTAACGCGTCGGAAAACCTTCCGATTTATTCGTGTACGCACCAGACGGAAAAACAAAAAATATCGTGTATCCACAAGCACTCCAATAAATAAACAGAATTGAAACGACACTTTGAAATGTTTTCCCGATGAAAATGAATAATAATAATAAGTTTCGATAAAAATGATGAAATGTAAATTGAATTTTATCATAACGAGTTTGCTTGAATTTCGTTTCTTCTGAGATCGCAGCAATGCGCGACGGGTAAGCGGGTATTTAAATAAATAGATGTTATATGTTTTTATCAAAGCAAGAATTGGCATTTAGAGGGCATATGGTCATGGTCATAAAGAAAGAATTAACTGATTGCCCCTGGATGTCGGCTTCTTATATAAACACAGCTTCCCTATCATCAAATGTCACGGCACGCCCCTGCTAAATTGTGACGTAAAGCGAGTGGATAGCTGGAAAATCTGAATTCAAATATAATCTAAACACGTATAATTATGACGAGCGGCACGGATTAGGGATTTTTTTCATTTCATATTTAGATTTTCGACTTTTTTTTAACTCCTTCCTCCCTGTGGGCACAAGCCTATTATGGTTCGGCCAAGCCCACAATGGGGCTGCCGGGTGGTGAGGGACGGGGCCCGACATATCCGAACGGAGCCGTTCGGATTCGATCCCGGGTGCCCCAGAGCGGTAGGTTGCCACCTCGAGCGCTCGGCCATCCGGCCGCCTATTTTCGACTTTATTGCCAATATGGCCTCCAGTAATTTGCGAAATTGTAAATGGCTATTGCACCGGCGCCCGAAGTTGCAAATGTCATTCAGAATTCTACCGAAACATTTTAAAAGTCCATCTTTTCTACGATTATATCTGGGTTTTTATAATAAAAAATAATATATATTTATATTGAATATTTTTATTTTCAAGAAGGAAAATTGAATTAACTCGGTGTACTTGAATGAACGTTTGTTAATATTCTTTATTTAGATCTTACGAATGTTAATATAATGATTTATTACATTTGATAGAAAGACCGATGCAGCGATGAATGGAAATTCGATTTTCGATTCATCAATATCCAATCGCATAGAATCTTTCTGTCGTGGAAATACAAGAAAATACTTTTTAAATATTTATTAGTATTTACATTAACTTATGTACGAAGGTTCTATTCATTTTGCCCGATGCTGTCTTAATTTAAGACACAGTTATCAGAAAAATGATTAAAATCGCTTCTTATATTCTAATTACTTTCCAACGCGCTCCCCCTCTCGTCCCGAATTAGCATCATTTTCGCACCGTGCATTTCGTCTACCGACACCGACCTAAAACGACGCTTTAAAAATTCACGTATAAAAAAATCGCCTTTAAATAAGTAAAAACATTGGTCATTTATCTCGGGGGAAGAAAAAAATGGAAAATGTCAGTCGCTCGATAGCGCTGTGATGTCGAGAGTATGCAGCTGGTTGTTGAGGTCATCATCCGGGTCCTTTTTCGTCGTTTCGACATTTCTAATTTTGCAATCAGTTCGCAAAGAAACTTTATTTTATGTTTTCTCCGTCTTGCATTTATATAATGATCTTTAAACTTTAATCGTGTACAGTGTATATATTACCTCGAAACAAAAAGTCCTGTAAATATACTTCGGTAACTCCTTTATAAACGTTAGGCTTAACAGTGATGGCCATGATACCACAATCTACGGAATCAAATTTGACAAACAGACGATACAGCTATAAAGAAGGTAAGTCGCTATGACGTCATATAATATAATATACCGAAGAAACGAATCGTTTGCATCCAATGCTTGATATTTGACGTTTAAAATGCCACCAATTAAAAAAACCCAATCGCTCTATCAATTTTTAATAAACAGTACTCCACAATTAGGTTGTGTCAAATTTGTTTATTGTAAAATCGACTTTAGTCAATGACCTAATTGATTTGTTGACACTTTAAATAGCTGTTTTGCATGTAGAAATTTACGTCCTCTTTCTATAAATGATTACATTAGTTTGTCCACTTTTGCTTAATAATAATCGTTTTTTTCAAAAATTATTTTGCATCCGGTGTCGGGGTTCCGGCGGAGGGCCGAGTTGCTTTTCTCTGCGCCGTTGGAAATTTATTTGTTTCCGCCGAGTCGACCCCCGTTTTCCTTAATTTCGTTATAATTATCTCTGGAGCGTTCTTTCGCCGTCTTAGATGCTAGAGGCGAGATTAAAAATTGCTTTTGTATTTTAATTATAAACTTTAAATGCTTTTTTCGAAGTTGTTAATCTTTTGGAATTATTCGTTGGGTTGTTTGTGCGTAGCGTTTGCTAGTTCTTATAATGCGTCGACGCGATGTCTCGTCGTGTAAAGTTTTGTATGCACCGACTAGTAAACGAATTAAAATGCGGTCGACGGGTCGGCGCGTGTTCGAAACTTTTACGAAATTTTACCTCGGTCGGTAAATTCGGTGTAAATTATTACGGTTATTTCGTTTCGTTTCGTTACGTAAGAAGAAAGTTTTGTAAAGATATCTTGCTTGTTGACGATGTGACTTTATTTCAACGTTTTCTTCTCTAGAAACGAACCAAATGGCAGACGGGAAACCCGAATAATTCTAAAAGTTTTTATACCTAAAACTGTTACGTAATTATTCGGATTTTATTTTCCCTTGTTGTCTGCGTGCGAAAAGATTAAAGATTGCAAAATTTACTGTCGTATACGTTTATCCTTGTGCATATAATAGGTTAAACTTTTGTAATTTGCAATATTTATAAAAGATAAAAACTCTTTAATTTATTATTTTTAAGAGCAAGAGTTTTTGTGTGTTGAAATGCCTACATTTAAAACATAAAATTCAAGTATAAGTTAAAAGAGAAGAAAGTCTTAATTTCAAACTTCAAAATTAGCATTATGCTGTTTTTAAACATAAAGTTGATTGTTTTGGTGTCCTTAACAAGAATATACCTTGAGTTTACATTTAATTTCAAATTTTGTTTTTGTAAGCACTTAAGATATTAAGTTATTAAAAATATTAATTATGAAAGATATAAACATTTTTTTAAAAATTATATAATTTATTTCCTTTTAAATAATTCCTTAATGTACATTTTAAAGTTTTTGTTCATAAAACAGTAGCTAAAAGTTATAAAGTGCATTGTATTTAAAGAAATTTTTCATTGTTTTCTCTGTTTCAAATGTGGCTTTAATTTTATATCTGACATTTTATCAATTTTGCAATGCAAATTATTTGTAATTGCTTTTAATTACTAAATATTATTGAAAAATAGAAGATGCATTTATAAAAGTATTTATATTTTTATAGAATCTTGAAAATGAATAAATTAAATATTTTAATTATAATCATTATAACTTATTGTAAAGTTATAAAATGATAAATTTTAGCAAGGCTTAAATTTTTCAAGTAATAAGGTCAAAGTATGATATAAAACTTTATATTATGTCATAAGTATTTTTTAAATTTTATCATTACACAAATCTATAACTGACATTTACATTAATAATAAATAATAATGATGTTAGGCAAATTTAATTTAAAAATATGTAAGTAGTATTTAACTGTAGACACACACTTTTTTTTATGATGATGATAAATTCTTAAGATAATCTTTTGAATGAATTTAATATTTTGAGATTTATTTGCCGTGTGTACAAAGTAATGTGATGTGGCAATTTGTAATTAATAATGAAATTCAGTTATTTAGTAAGTTTTAGAAAACAAATGCATTTGATATTTCTCAATAATTGAAACTTAAAGTAATGAAATAGTATTAAACTATTACCTTAAAATAAAACTAATTTATAATACAAATGTTAATTAAATTATTTTAAGTGTAAATTGTACATATTCATTTTATAAATTATTGAAATGTTATGTTAAAATAATTACTCTGTAATCTTGATTATATTTAAAAGAATTTTGAATAGGCTGTGCAATTTAATATTCAATTTTTAATTTAATAAATTGATAAGATTTATTAAACAATCAAAATTCTCTGCTTCTGTTTTGTTTTTGTGATAATTCTGATGATAAATTCAAAATGCTTAATTCTGATAAAAATTTAGAAAACAAGTCAGTATGTGCAGGAAGAGATTGCATGTAAATGTCAGACTAAATCAAAATAAATGTTTCTTTTAATTTGCTATTCTTTTGATATATACAAAAAATTTTCAATTGACAATTTCTGAATTAATATGAAAATCTAATTGTTGATTTTGATTATTATTCTATATATACATTTATGATGAATCATTTAAAACAGGAAAGAATTGAATCTATAATCATCAAATCATAAGCAGCAGACTTAAATATAGAATTAGCTGATTCTAAAACTAGCTGATGATGATTAAGGTTTGTTTGAAAACATTGTTAATGAAATAAAAACTATAGCCTTTTATATTTGCGTCTGCTTCCTATTTGATTTGTAATGAATAAAAATAATTGAATTAATTGAAGTTAATTGAATCTTTTTATAAGTTGTACATACAAAGTCCAAATCTTCAAACAGCTCTGATTAGATTTTATGCTGTTTTGAATTTGAAATATTTGTAGTTTTATTTGTTATATATATTTATTTATTTCTAATTTAAATTGTAGAAAGAAAAATATCACTAATAAAAGTTCTACTATGACACTAAACCAGCAAAAGAATCACTCACTTTGGAAAGCAAATGTTTTCATCCATTTTTATATCAGTTTTTACAGCTCAAAGTTTTGAATTTCCTACAATTCAATACAAATATAATTTTTTAGCAGATTTTAAAATTAATTTAATAGGTCTGTAATGTTTTAATTTTTTGTCAAATGCTCTCTTGTTATTTCCAAATATTCCGAATGATATTCCGACAGTATTTCAAAATTTTCAATTGAAAATTTTGAAATACCGTCGGAATATCATTCGGAAAGCTTAAACTATCGTATTCTATGTACCGCCTGATGATGGTAGTTTTACACTACTGAAAGTGCTAGTGGATAAAACCTTTCTCCAAAAGTCGGATAAATTTCCGTATCTGGAATTCCACTCCTGTAACGCCACTGCACGTAAGTGTTATAATATTATTATACGTCGGCGTGAAGTGCAAACTTATTATATCATGCTTATTTTGAGGATAACAGGTACTATGGCTCAAAACAAAGTTAAAATTGTTTTATTGAATTTCAATGTTTCTAAACTTTTTTTGCACTTACCTAAGATAAAGGAATAATTTGAAAGTTTTGAAAAAGAACTTATAAGAAAACATGCTTTTTATAACAAAATTTAATGTCATTTTAATGCTTTCATAAGACAGAAAATCTAGTTTTCTCTGAATGGAGTTATACTTTACAACAATCATTTAATGATAATTGCAGCATCTTTTGCTTGATAGAATAAATGGCTTTACATACTACCTGATGTACAGCATGCCAATTAATTGTCTCATTATTTGATTTTCTTATTAAAGTAGTAATTATTTCTGATTTAAAAAAATTATCAATTTCTAAAATATTACATGAATGAAAATACTGTTATCTGTGTGAAGAATTTTAAATTTGAAAATAAATTTTTAATGAGAAATGTTTGAAAAAATTTATTGCCTTCTCAAATTTTCGAAATTTGACATTTTCTTTTTTATGAAGATAGAAAAGTATTTCTGAATTCTTTACTTCTTACGTATTATCTTATTTCTTTGTATTTATCATTATTAATGAAAAAAAATAAGACAAAGATATTTAGCATAAAATATAAAAATTGAAATGTGTGATGATTCTGTTCATAGATATTTGTTGAAAGAGTTCAGACTTATATACTTTTAATAATTTGTGCAATCTTGACAGGTTGCTTACCATAGTAACATAAAATCTGTAATTAATAATTTTAAAAGATGGTTCTTTTCCTGATAGATTATTTTTACTACTTCCTGTTTTGCTTTCATCTTCTATGAATTCTCAGTCAATGAAGCCACCACTTTTCTTTTTAACAAATCTCTTTATTGCACTAATTTTTGCTCCAAACTTTTTATTATGTTTATCTGAAAATTTTTTAAAAACTTAGCATCATGATATATTAAATCACAAAATAGTGCTAAATTGAAATGATTAAGCATTTTCAATATGAAATGTTTTTGGCCTATATATATAGGCCAAAAACATCTGTTATTAAGTTGGAAAATTTCCTGCTAAAATAAAGTCAAGGAATATGAAATTTTTTGTTTATATGGAATTGTTGAACAATTTTTTTTATAGTGATTAGAATTAGGTTTTACTACAATTGAGAACAATTGTTCTCAATTTTAGCATTATCAAAATGTTTATCTCTAAGTCAATAGCAAATAGAAGTTATTCTTAAAAACTACAGTACTACAAGCAAATTACATGTCGAACATAGATTTACAGGAAAATGTCTGTTCTATAAAAGGCAATCAACAGAAACTGTTGTCTTAGAAAGATGAAAGTCATTAAAAATCTGTGATATGTATATTTACTTTCAACAATGAAAATTGTAACACTGAAGAATGGAACTTCCTACCCTCTGATAGATAGCAAAAAATGATACTATACAATGCAAGATTTTATAATGACTTACTATATATGTTCTGCAGAAAAAGAGGGTGATGTATTTGAATGAAGAAAGAGTAGGACTAGGGACTGGACCCATCGCAAATTCATACAAAGTGCAGATTTCATGTAAAATATGCTATATCCAGAGAAATTTCATGCAAAACATGCTGAGTCTATGCTAAATATGCTTTACTGAT